TTAAAACATAGACTGAGAAAAGATTTATTAGGTAATCTCCAATCTCATGTCAAGTGCAGAATTGTTACTTACCTGCAGTGCATATTCTAGTCTGGTGTGCTTTTACTGTGTTCCTGCCACTTCCTTTGGGAGACTACTTCATAATCCAATAGATCTCACTGAGAGGACACTCTTGATCTCCATCCTCGTGTTCCCTTCCCGCTGTGTACTTTGTATACCACTAACAATTTGTACTTAGTAACCTTCCTCACCTCCCATCCCATCGCCGCTCACTCACTTCTACTTTGTAATGGCTAGGCATCTGGAACCTCTTTTCCGGAATATCTGTAGACTCATCATTCTTCTGGGCATGTTGCATCTATCAGGCTAAAGGATTTTAAGGTGATAAAAGGATAAAGGGTCTTCATAACTTTATGTTTCTAATAATAAAACTTTCCCATTCTGATAAGGTCCTTTCCGTTCTCTAGAGACTTGGGGTGGAGAGGGTAATGAGGACCATGAATTTTTTAAGAAAGGAGCAAAACCATGTGTAATTTATGATTCAGTGTCCCATAATATGTGTTCCCCAATTGCTAAAAAGATTAGTTGGAATGTCCTGTGTAGAGAATATTAAATCCAACTGAGAGACTGTTCTCAGAAGAATTTTGGCTTCACCAGACTTCCTCTCATGGATCTTATAACCTGAGCATCTCCGTAGAGGGGCCCAGAAGGATGCCAGTACATGCAGTGGTTTGTGTTACAAGATAGAAACACTGAGCTTGGGAATCTACATTTTTTATATCAAGTGTAAGCAAGCCTGCTCTTTGTCCCACAAGAAAACATCAAGATTTCCTGCTGCAAACAAAACCAGAGAAAGGCCCCATAAAAAGAGCTGTCAGAGCCTTGCTTCTAAGTTCAGAAACGTGCACATCCTACTTCCTCCAAAATATTTTGACAAGATGCTATAGAAACCTTAAGTTGAACATTTCCAAAACTGAACACGCAGTCTTCTTCCAGACTAGCTTCTTTCTCCATTTTCCTATTCACTGAGCCACCTACTTGTTCTCAATGTTTTCATCAGCCACCAGGTCACCAGATTTTTTTTTTTAAGTTCTACCTCTTAAATGCTGTTTGCACTTTGCATACCATTGATTTTGGGTTTTGACTGTCATCATCAAAAGGTAAAAATGGATACACTTCTGCAGTAGGCTGACTCGTTTCATTTGCCTCCAAACCAATGTCCTAAAACGCAGAGCTGAAAACTCTTCACTTGTCAAGCCTCCCAGATAAAATCTAAACTTCTTACCATGATCTACCTACTTCTCCAGCTTCATCTACTCATATTTCTTTCTTTTAGACCTTTTATAAGAATTGCTTGCTGGTCCCTGGGTAAGCTTGCACTGCTGATCACTTTGCATGCCATATCCTTAAAAACTCAGAACTCCTTGGCATATAGTAGGCATGTGATGTCTGTATGTAGCATAAATATTTATTCGGTAGCTGAAAGTAAAAACAGGCTTAGCTTAAATGCAACAGGGAATTGGTTTGGGAATTAATTAATTCCACATTCTGTGTATTCCCTTCACCTTAACCAATCATGATGATGGACCTCTATTTCTAGACATTAAATAAAAACAGAGAGGGTACAGCTGTTGCTTATATCTACTTTGTAGACTACCCCAAACTTGGAGGTTATCAATACTTGTCATTATCTTGTTCTACTGAACAATACCAATATAAATACAAACAAATCAAATTAACCTTATTTTTCTAAGGAACACATGATTAAACCCATGATTAAAGTCATTAAAACAAAACTCTCCTTTTTTAATAGTTGGAAAAAGTAAAACCACAACATATAATGTGGCTGTCTAAAATCACTATCCTGTCTTCTATCCCTTGAAACACAACTTGCTCTTTGGCAAAACGGATGACATAAGCATTCACCCATCTAATTAGCTCTGTGACTCTGTCAGCAAGAACCTGGGCTTATACCATGCCCAAGGCAGGCTAAGGATCCAGAGCTTAGTCAGTAGTGACTCTTCTGAGTGGTCACAAGTTGGTCCAGTTCACTTGATGCTATAGACTATTTAATATGCTTGGGCACACCCTTGATACTAACGGAAATGATGTTTTCCCTTTTGGAGATTCTTGAGGCCAGTTTATTATAAGATGCAAACATTCCTTGGAGCCTGCCTGATCAGCTTCAATGATCCTGTACCACTTCCAGCATAGCTCTTCTCCCTCCTAGAGGAGTCAGAAAAACAACTCCATCTCCAACCTGAACAAAACTCACAGATGTCCCCAAAAGCTGGGATATCTGCCAAGCCTTGGGTCTCCGTCAAGCCCAGGCCTGCTGGACTGTTGTGGGAACCATGCAGAGAGATGTGTCCACTCCAGTCACTGGCCATGACTGCGTGAGAGCACACACTCCAGTATCCAATCTCAGTAAATACTTCCACAGAACAGTGACCCTAAGACTCTTATCTTTCCATACTAATTTTTCCAACCCTAAAACATCATCAAAGCAAGGATCACTGAGTCTTATCTGGCTCCTTGTAGACACTGTTGATTCAGCAGCATTTCTTTGAGCCTTGCTTAGAGTGCCCCTTTCTATGTGACTCTACTTTTGGACCTGGGAAGAAAACAGCATTCTCAAGTGGTCTGTCTATTCTGCCCTTGCCTTTCTCTGCTGGCTCCTGACATCTGCCTGCCCTCTACAGTCCATTTCCCTCAATGAAACTGGATCTTCAACTGTGTGATGGCCCCAGGACACCACTCAGTCTTGGCAATTAATGTGGGCCTGTTATCTGCTAAACTCATTCTGAATAATTTCATTTGGCCCCAATTATCATCTAGGCTGTGAACAGATCACCCTGTCTTGGAGATATTATTTCCACTCAGCTCCAGGGTTCATTTTTTGTATTTTTTTAATGATGCAGTCATTATCCTAGTTAATGTTCTTCCATCCTCTTTCTTCCTACACCTCTCTCGGGAGACCTTACAGAGCCTCAGCCTGCATCTGCTCAGCAATCTTAACCTCCCAGGCCTGGAAGTCCAGTGCCAAGTCCCTGTGGGACCTATTTGTCCTTAGGGCATATAACTAACAGAATTCAGCAGGCCCACTGACCCCACTACCCCAGAAAGATGATGTGTACATACAGACCTGCTCTGCTCCAATCGAGAAAGTGCCTAATCAGCCTAATCGGAAAGTACCAAATGTTATTTTATTATAGGAGGAATTTCTATTTCCTTTCCTGCAATTCCTCTTTATAAATGTTCTAATCCCATATACATAATAAGCCTTTGGATTTGTTCTATTTTAAAATTCTTGATTGTGTTTCCATTGAGACTGGCTCTCAAGATCCTGTTTTTGATTTGTAAGAGCATCTTTCATCTCTAGTAACCTTTGATGTACAGCTGGCTCCAGACTTAGCTTAGACCACTCCCCAAACTCTTTCTGACTCCTGTCCTTATTGGGATTTTCCTACCATCAGCCTGAGGCCTGTTGTACCCTCTAGCCAACCAAGGTCTTCCCTGTGATATATCATCACATCATTGTGATTTTCTCAATTCTTTACCGTACCCATTTTCATTTCTCATTCAGTCTTCATCACTTGGTCTTCAGCAAATAAGTGGGACCTTAAGAGGAGCCTCTAAAATGCTCATCAGATATTACCAACTGCAGTTTCTCAGTAGAGCCTTCTTTCTTGGCAATTTCTAATTACCCCTGGATTACAAAGTAGTAGCTCATAAGTTAAATTAAGCTCATAGATCTGTTTTGATGGCATGTGCTGAGTTTATTTTTCTTTGAATGCCTTCAGGTGTGGTTTTCACTTTTTGCAGGCTGGGCATGCTCCCAATACTTCCTGTATTCTTGGATCTGACCAGTTTTGTTACTTTGTACTAACTATCTAAATATCTCTCCTATAACCACTTCCTGTTCTGGGAACATCTGTCAAACCATTTGTTCACACCTTCTGAATTCTTCTTCGTCCATTTGGCTCTCCCTACCTGTTCTCTATCATTCCTGCAGGTTCCCCACCACTGCTCAATGTACTAGTCCTTCTTTGGAGCCATCTTTCAGTGAGCAACTTTCCTCCAGTAAGACTCAACTTTTTTTTTGAGTTTGGGGAGTGGTCTAAGCTAAGTCTGGAGCCAGCTGTACATCAAAGGTTACTAGAGGCGAAAGATGCTCTTACAAATCAAAAAGAGGATCTTGGGAGCCAGCCTCAATGGAAACACAATCAACAATAGGATTCTACTATTCCATATATGCAGGTCATATAGACGGATCATTAATTTGACTTTCCATTAAGTCACTCTCCGTTTTGAGTCCTAATATCAAAAGTCTAGGATGGTATGAGTTAAATCTTCATCTCTGTTTTTAAATGTAAAAGACCACAGAAAGAACTAAAAATAGTCCAGCCTCAATGTTTCACATGTTATTGGCTTGTTGTACAACTCTTCATTTTTAGTTTAAAAAAAAAAAAAAAGAATTTTCCAAGCTTTGCTTTATCTGCCTCTTGCATTTATTCATGAGGATCCATACCTACTCAATTTAAAAACACTTCTAACGGTTCTATCTTAGCTCCCCAATAGGCCCTGTTTCTCCACACACTCAGACAAATTTTTAGCATGGTATTATAAATCAGTTTCCTGTATGCTTTCCCAAAGATTATTCGTATTTGAAATAAAACATGTTAAAGTAGTTATAGTCAAATACAGTTTTAGTGAACAAAGTTTAATGAAAACATGGACAAAAATCTACAGTAATTTGTGCCAAATTTGCCAGTTGTGCAGAGAATTACTTGGTATGCTGGGAGCAGTATCTAGGAGCCTAACTACATAATTACTTTTCTACTGTTGGGCAAATAGATCAATTGTATAAAAGATTTAATCTTTAGTTATAAATAGAAGCGATGACCTCATTTATAGAGTTTAAGAGATCTGGTGTTTTTTATTGACACGCACAGAATCTACATAAACCCATATATGGTTTTTGGTTTTTAACTTTATAGGAAATCAATGTGTTGACAGTTGCATTAGTCAACCAAGACCGAGAGAATAATATTGAGAAAAGAAGCCAAGGCTTAAAATCAGAGAAAGAAGCTCTGCTAATAGGTAAGGAAATTCTGTTGTCTTCATCTGTTCTCTTAAATAATTATTAGTAATTAACTTAATATTTTAGTTATTAACTTATTAATTTAAACAACACTGCCTTCTGGTAAAAGGTGAGATTAATTTCGTCAAGATTATATTACATACATTTCAAATTAGTGGCATACAGAGTAATGGGGGTTTTGCCTTTCTGTAACTGTATATATTAACTGATTGTCAGACAAAACTGAGTTCAAGAAGACACTAATTTGCATCTCATGTGTCACAAATCTGAATTTCAAATTTTGGGCATGCCACTTCCAACTGGAGGCCAGGTTGCATCTAGTTCCAAACCAAGCCATATCCCCAGGCTCAAGAGCAGCTTTGAACCCTGAGATTAAACTCTAAGCCCCTTAGCAGAGGCCACATCCTAAAGTCACCCCCAAGGCTAGACCTGCAATGCTGACAAATAGGGCCATGCAGGGTACTGATGCTAGGCTAATCCAGGACAGTTGGCTCCAGGCTTCCCTGTCCAAGTTTGGATCCTTTTGTCCAGGACGAACAAAAGAAGCATCCTTAGTGGATCCAGATGTCGTACTTATTTTCACAAGGAAGAATTCTTGATGAGGATGTGCCAGCAGTGTGCGTGGAAGCCCATCTTAGATGCCTGTATGTTTAAGGCTGTATTTGAAGCCCTCAAATTCAGAGAAAAGGAAGCCACCACCCTCATGCTGTGATGCACAGAACTGATTCAAGCTGCACCTCGGCACTGACCCCAGTGTGGGGTTGCCAGGTGAGACTGGCTCTGTGGTGACATGGTTAAGACTGAATGAGGCCAATGTACGTGCAAGACAAATTGTTCTTAAGCAGTTCATTATCTGGCAGAACTAGTGCCTGGTTGCTTTTTTTTTTTTTCTTTTTTTTTTTTGAGACAGGGTCTCACTCTGTCACCCAGGCTGGAGTGCAATGGCATGATCTCGGCTCACCACCACCTCTGCCTGCCGGGTTCAAGTGATTCTCCTGCCTCAGCCTCCCTAGTGGCTGGGATTACAGCTGTGCACCACCACACCCAGCTAATTTTGTATTTTTAGTAGAGACGGGGTTTTGCCAAGTTGGCCAGGCTGGTCTCAAACTCCTGACCTCAGATGATCCACCCGCCTTGGCCTCCCAAAGTGCTGGGATTACAGGCGTGAGCCACCATGCCTGGTCCCTGGTTGCATTTTGTAAATACTGCATGTGCTCACCTAAAAATGACAGGTACGGCAGGGCCTAGAGAAGCTGGCACAGGAGGAATTAAATTCAAAAGATAGTCCAGAGTCCATCCATCATATATAGATTTTTCAACTACAGGGTTATTGAATATGACATCAACTTAGAGACACTCCAAGGAAAACCAATTATTTTTTTTTTTGCTCTGATGATATACAGCTGTAATAACATGCCATGCACGAGTCTCGGAAGACATGCTGATGTGCTATCAGTTCCAGGAACCCAGAATGAGCCCATATGTAGTTGGTAACTGGATTTTTCTTCTAGTGGAAAACATGTCTAACTCTGACAGCTGTTTCTCTGTCACTCAGTGTGACCAAGGTGCGATTTTTCCCTATAAGGTTTTTAGGGTATGAACAAAGCAATTAATGATCTGCAGTAAACTTTTCCCTCTTTGTTTAAGTGGGAATAATTCTGTCCACTGAAGGTTAAAAAAAATGGGAACTGATCTCTATTTTCTTTATTTCCTTCCTTTCACTAGAGATTGCTGCTGCTTTTATGTTTTAATTGGAGAACACAGTTAATTCACAATGTTTTCTAAGTAGTTATTAGGTTTTATTTATATATGTGCACACATACATGTACTTTTTTCAGTTGGCTACTTCGAATATTTGTAAATGATGTGCTTTATATGCGGTACATTAATGGGAATAAGTAGGAAGATTACATTTGTAACATGCTATGCCTGCTGATGTCTTTGGTATCACAAAACATATATAAAATTAGTTCATTCAAGTGTGTTAGAAAGAAAAATATTAGTAAGTCAGGATCTCCAATAAAAAGCATACACAACCAACACTAAACTTTCCAAGACTTTTCCTCTCACTGTTGGTCTTTTGAACTAGTTTACCAATATTAGCATTTGAAGTTAGGAGTAGAGCAAAAGAGAAACAGGGGGTGACACTTATTTTGAATCAATATATGAGAATATTTAGGTAGAAGGGAGGCCAGAGACTTAAGTGTTTGATTAAAATAAACTTAGGAGTTTAACTTTCCCTTCAGTTATCCATTACCTTGCTACCTTTCTCGATGTTTTATTTTATTCTTCTTAATGACAGTTTGACAACAGATGTGATTTCCTGGCCAAACCCACTTCCAAAACGTCTATATGCTTCTACTCTTTTGTATAATCCTCCAAAAGAGGATAATCCTCCAAAGAGAGAAAAATCCTCCAAAAGAATGCCACAATGGGGAAGAGTTTCCAAGACTGGCAAAATGGATCCTGCCAAAAGCTGCAGTTGCTGCCTGCCACTAAATGATCCTATCTGCTAATTGAGTTTGGTCATTCATACTTTGTAAATACCTGACTCTTGGGTCCATAAAGAGCTCCCCTGAAGCTTCTGGAATCTAGATACAGACTGTGGTAGGGATAAAACTGCTCTGGACCAGAATAGAGAAAAAGGATTTTCTGGTGCTGGGGCTACACTTTACTGAAGAATTCTCATACACCTAATGATTCTAGGAGCCCTCTGGCCTTCTGGTACATCTGGAGCAGTCATAAATACTCTGCAATTCCCCTGAAGTCTTCCCTTGGAATAAAGTCAGTAGAGAGGACACAATAGTCATGCTCTAGGCCAGCCTAGAGGACCAAGGATACAGCAGAAAATCTCCCACAACTTGGAAACATTAATTGGCAAAATCTTCATCACATCTGCATGCTTATAGTGTATGCTGTATGCCAATATAGTCAGATGATCAGTGCCCTCTTGGGGCACATAAATGTTATATAAGAAACGCACACTGACACAAAGCATTCCCTGGAAGAGAAAAGGAGTGAGAAAAAAAGCTCTTCAAATGGATTCCATCTACAGAGAGAATACAGCGGAGGCTAGAACTTCCTAAACAATGAGCAATTCTAGTTATGTATAATTATTTGTGACACTGATTTGACTGGGCAAAACGGTATATTCTGTCCAGACATTCTCATGACCATTATATAAAACTAGAGTCTTTATTTCAAGGCATAAAGTTGGTACTTATTAGAGAGGATCTGTGGGATTTCACTGACATTATTTGGAATTTTGCAGATCTGGATCCTGAGTATTGTTAGAATTCGACCATTCTGACTGACTTTCTTCTTGACAATTAATGGGTCTTCCAATTCAACTAAAGATAGGCCCCTGGAAAATATTTTATTATTGTGATTTCTGGGTTATTCGTTTTGTAATCAATTTTTGTGGAGACAGGTTGACATACAATTGGACCTTAGAGAATTCCATTTTTATGGGGGCATTGCAGGGTAGCATTTTATGTTTCATAATGCTATAGTAACCACACATAAGGTCAGCTTGACATTGCTCAATGTCTATGCCAGAACTCCTAGTTCATTTCACATATGGCCTACATGTTAGATTGGCATACACTGAAGTTGCTTGGGATAGAATGAGTCATTACTTTTGGTTTGGGGCCAATTTTTGGAGCTGTGTTTGGCTGGATATTATGAAGGAAAAATGGATCTGATTTTTTTTATTGATAAGCTAATAGTTCTGCAGAAAACTGAGAGTACAACTCTCTGGGTCCATATCACTCTATCTTCTCTTGCTTTTTATAATAATTCCAACACAATAGATTTCAATCCCAGCAGCTCTGATTGGCACCCTGTTGATGCTAGTCATTGTAAATACTATCCAGATACAGTCAAAAACTTCTCCACAGCTTTTAACTGTAACAAAGCAGCTTTTCTCTAAAACCTCCCTGGTCCCCTGAGAACTGTCCTCAGGTTGACAATGACTGGGCAAACTTCATTACATATCCTGAGTCCTCTGCAGATCAGGACATACACATCATTTCCATCACAGTCACCATCTCACACATGCACAAAACCAGACTATACAAGAAGCGGAATGCTCCTCCTAATGTGGGTATTAAGAAACAGCTGAATAGAATATGGAAAAACATTTTTAAAGAAGGTCAAGCAATAACTTTTTGGTGATTTCGGTGAATAAAGTTGAGGCTGTATTTAGGCTGTACCTGAGAAATGTAATCTTGGGAGAATGTTCCTCTCTGGAAACTACTGACCATAAAGAATGAGTCATTGACCTAAATCTTGTTTCCAAGGCACAAACATCCATATCAATAAATCAACAAACATTTGTCAAGAGCCTACGATAAGAATAATCAGTCTTCATCGTGCAAAATAATTATCTAGGCAGCCTATTTAAAAGGCAGAATCTTTAGCCCCACACACAGGTGTGGTGGCTCACGCCTATAATCCTAGCACCTTGGGAGGATGAGACAGGAGGATCACTTGAGCTCAGGAGTTCAAGACCAGCCTAGGCAATATAGTGAGACTCCCATCTCTTAAAAAGACAAGTTAACTGGGCATGGTGGCATGTACCTGTAATCCCAACTACTTGGGAGGCTGAGGTGGGAGGATCTCTTGAGCCCACGAGCATCAGGCTGCAGTGAGCTGTGAGCAGCACCACTGTACAACTGCCTGGGTGACAGAGTAAGACCCTGTCAAAAAACAAAAAAAGAAAGAGAGATCCTGTTCATTGCAATACTAACACCTGAGGGGATACTAAAGCACGCATATCTGGTACTATGTTTTTGAGAAACGCTGGCCAGTTTATGCTAACCCATGCGTTAGCTGATGGTGGAAAGATGATCTTCCCTCAAGAAGTTCATAGATAGTGAGAAAGAATGCAGTTAATGACAATGAACTGTGGTTTGTACTAAAATCAGAGACACAGAGAAGGAGCTACTTATGTTACAGATGCCTTGTCAGAAGAAAGGACAGCTGAGCTAGTCCTAAA